AGACCGCCTCCTTTCCTTTGTTTCCTTGCACTTTCACGCTGATTGACAGCCCTGATGTTTAATCGAAATTTAAACTTCTATCTAGTGGATGCGCTTGCTCTTTATTTCTCAAACAGCCAGGAAATCAAGGAAATCGACTGATCTACGTGAAATGTACATGCCCATTCCATTTCGGCTACAGTACAATGGGATGGCTGACACAAAAAGACAAGCTTACGTACACTGATAACGCTCATGTGGTAAAGCTGTCCGAATTTTTTAGAATTTCATGAATTGTAAAAGCTTATTGAACACCAAATGTTGCTGAAATAAACTCACGGACAAGTAATTCAGCCTCATGGTTTATCTTCTGCTGTTGCAGCCATTCTTTGCACTTTGCACTTTTTTCAGCTCCAAAAGAGGGTTTCTTTCTTCGTCTTCGAGCTCTTCAACCTCAGTAACTGTTCGTCTTCGTTGGAAAAATTTTCGTTTTCTACAGTAAAGCTTCTGGGTGGTACAGGATTTGCAGTTTTGGGTAATTGATCTATGTTGTCTTCGGGCGACTCGTCCAAATTTGCCACTATTATGAACAAAACTAATCGCCTCTTTCCCAGTTTCTTAGCTATTTTGCTCTCTGAGGTGCACATTGGTAGGTAGGTAGGTAGGTAAGGCCTGTTTTTAATTGTTGTTCCTCATTTGTTTGTTGCTGTTGTTGTTGTTGTTTTTTTTATTTTTCATTTTCTTGTGTGACCTTAAATAGATTAAATTGAATTTTTACAATTCATAAATATCAAGAATTACAAATAAATAATATAAGGTACAGACAAACACGATCATCCTTCTACTACCTTCTCCTCCCTATTGGAGACAAAAACTAGCCAAAACTGTTGCCCTGGGATTTAAGATGGCGTCCTTGAGTGAACAAAGTCGAGTTAGGGAATTATTTGATTCTGTGACTTTGGGAGTAGTTCGATCGCTTGGTAAGTCCTCTTTTCAAATACTTAATTTATACTTACTTTAACAGAAACGGGTTATTAAATTTAATGCAAGGCTCTGATTCAAATTTCATGAAACTCGAGGTAAAAACTGAAGTAAGCTCAGCTGTGAATATGCCGCGCTTCCACTTTTTTTTTTCAGAAAAGAAGCCAGGTGTAACAGATTTCCGTCTACTTGATAGACGACAAGCGGAAAAACACATTATCTTTACTTGGGAGCTGGTAATATTTCATTTCCTGAATAAACATTAACGTGTGAAGTAACATTATATTGACCAGTGTGTTATGAGTAGCAAAAAACGATTACATGCCATTCTCAACACTGTATATTTGATAGAAGAACATGTGTATCTTGCCAGAGGACTTGAAGAGTTTTTTCCTCACAACAAATGGACTGTTAATTCAGTGGAGCATCAAGTTTGATAATAATTAATGACAATGCATCTTTGAAAAAATAATGCGAGTAATAGTAAATGTTTCCTGGTGCCTTCACAGGCTGCAGGAAGCAGGAAACTTTGGTCATAAAGAGTTTTGGGTCACTTGGCTTGTAAGACTTCTTAGAATCATCACTGAACATTTTGACGGTTTGATTTGTTGTTTCATATCTATTTTCTCCATTTTATCAGGGAGTGTTTTACCACTGGGAAAAATGGAGCTGAATCCTGTGACAGGTCTAGTGTTGCTGTCTAAAGCAACATCTGTTAGTGATGACAAACCCTCATTGGCTGATTTAGATACTGATTCAGATGAAGAAGATGGCCAAGGTATTGACCAAACATGGGGACAGATCCAGGAATTTGACAGAGGGAGGGGGAGAGGGGAAGCATCCTTTGACTTAAAAAAAAAAAAAAAAACTACTTTTCTTTATGTTGGACCCTAACATATATAAGCAAAGGAATGATTCAGGCCAAGTGAATATATTTGTTAAGAAGTAATATGTGATCCCACATTTCAAGAAGCTTTCTTTCAAAAATTTGTCAGATCTGATGGAGAGGGATCTGAACCCCACTCATCCTACCCCCCTGGATCTACCACTGAAACAGGACCTTGAATACCATGATTTTGTCAATAATAAAGATCTGTCCCAGCTAAAACTGAGAAGTGCTAGTGATCATCAGATGATGTTCTTTCCTTTGTTTTCAATTCCTCACCAGGTCATATAAAACCACACTTTGATAATCGCTGCAAGGTTTTTGAGCTGGATCCATGTGACAGCTATGGTAAAGTCTGTTTGGTTTACAAAGACATCAAAGCTGGTGGGTGAAGTTGGACAGTTCAAATAAAATCGTAGATTTTTCCAAGCTGCCAAATGGTTGATATAGATGTTGTGGTTCAATTTATCCTTGGTTCAAATTTTGTTTTCTTTTGTTTTTGTGTATTGTAATGTATGATAACAAGTTTGAAACAAAGGAAAATAAAATTTGAACCAAGGATAAAATTGAACCACAACATAGACATTCTTTTATGTCAACTAAGTTCTTGGCATTGGAATATCCTTCATTTTTTCTGTCTCTTCTCTGCAAGTTTGCTAGTTCTCAAAATTAGTGGATTTTTGGTATGTGCCCAAAATAGAGAAAAAAAACTTGTCAATGCTCATTGCAATGTCCTCTTTTCTCAGGAGTAACAACAGGACAACCTGAGATCTGGTTTCTTGATCATTCACTGGAATGGTGGTATCTTGCTTCATCTTTCACTGATTATTTCAGAATGATGATAGTACATCTTGGCATTCCTCTCTGGCAATATCTTTTTACTGCAACAGGTCTAAGTCCAGAAACAAAGGTAGGCATAACTTAATTTGTGATTTTGCAACAAGTTAATCAGTCACTTATTATTGACTTAAGATTAATGTACTGGATTGGAAGGTCCTGGTTTGAGCCCATGGACTGAGTGGTAAATATGACGTGTTGTTGGGAAAGACTGTCAACACCAGATGTTCTAATTCTCTCAACTTTGAAGTTTATGATAAATGTGTACTAGAAACAGTTCGGAATAATTTCGGAAGTGCACAGAGGCTACTTCCATTAGACCAGCATTCACTCAAGGAAGAGCAACTTGCAATCAAGTTTTGAGAGCAGACTCTCTCTTTTGGTGTTCATGGTTTTTGCAGTTAAAAGGTTCCTTATTTATTTCTGAGGGTTGGTATCTCTGCAGAAACTTGGTGGAAACTAATAGGAAATCATTTCTTCTGTTTACAGCAATGGTTCAATCTCTATGCACCTACTAGATTAGCCATTGACATGGCCAATGTGGAACAAAAGGCCCAACAGAAGCCAAATTCAACAGAGAGAAATAAGTCTGCCACAAATCTTCCTTTCAACTCATTAGATGTAAACAGACTCTTTAGAGGTAAAACTGACAAAGGAAAGAGTAAGCTATCCCAGGCAAAGAAACCACCTCTGGGAAAGACTCAAAACTCAAGTCAGGGTTGACAGGGGCAGTCTGGTAGATCAGCACCAAGATGAAAACAACATGTTTTAAATTTCTCCACTTTGTGAGATGTGGTTACCATAGCTGTTTTACAAGACTGAGGTACAGCTCTTTATCTTAAAGTGCACTTTGATGTGTTTCATGAACAGCAAAGCCACAACTCTTTTCTGAAAAGCACCAAAGGAATAAATTACTGGAAACTAACTTACTGGAAGTCAAGGTTACCTATTGCTTTTGAAAATAGCAAAAATGGAAATGGAATTATTTTGTAAATGATATTGTAAATCACCACCTTCCCCAATCTAAAATTTGTATTGGGGATGGAAAAGCAAAACAGTTTTGAGCAGGGTTCTATCAACATAATAATATTACAAAGAAATGATGATGTGTTGACAGTTCTGTCACTGATCAAATCCCTTCCAACTTCCATTCCTTAAGGGGATATAAACTGCAGCCTCCCCTCTTAATTGGAGCAAATGAGTACTTTACCCTTTAACTCCTAGAAGTGATGGACGTGTAACTTCTCCCAGTAAAATACACCCATTATCCATGAAACAGGTACTAAGAATACTTACACTCATCAGGTGAAAGTTTTTATCCTGATCTAACACCAAATTCTTGTAACTTATTGACAAGGAAATGTTTAGCAGCTAGAGGGAAGAATTGACAATCACATCTTGGAAGTTAAAGGGTTAAAGTTTCACTGATTAAGTATTTTGTTCAAATTCAATAATCCATAAGTCAGATGAATGTAAGTCTCCAGGATATACTGGTATTTACCAACTACACATTTGTGCTTCATGTATAGTATGCATAGTACTAATATTTAAATAAAAACTAAAATTTGATCTATCCAATTAAACACTTCACTACAGTGCAAGTCTCTATCTTTGGCAAACACAATATTAGACATCTGATGCAAAATAAATAAGATTACAAGATTATTGAAAAGTATATAAAAATTAATAGAGGAAATATGAAAATACTCTGCATTATGCATGGACAGCCTAAAATCATGGAAACATGTATGATTAATTCTCATCACAAGTTCCAACCCTGTTTTCTACTTGCAGCATAAAGCTATATGCAGGCTTTTGGATCTCAAATATGTCTAAATTCAGGGGTGTGTTCTGGCACAGCCCTGGTGCCACAGGTGACTAACTTTGTCAAAGATAAAAGCACCTAGCTGGGAACCTGGGATCTTTAAGATAAGAACCTTTAGCAATACTGTGATTCTTCTGAGAATACAGCTTTGAAAATGGACAGATCATTGACCCTCACACTGACTGTTACCACCAATTCTTTCTTTCTGAAAATTAAACAAAACCAACAGGGAAAGACACTAATTAAATACTTCTAAAGATTAAATAGACTTCTTCAATTCTGTCTTTAGCTGTCACTCTGATTGTGATGCTTCACTTGAGAATGGTGATGATGATGATAACGTGTCCTCTGAATCAGATAATCTATCACAGAGTTCAGCAATCTTTTTTCTTGAACTTGCTTGAGCTTTTTTCCTTGGACTTTTCCTGTAAGACAAGAATAAATGTTGCTTATTGTTACAAGAAGCAGGAGCCTTGTTCTTCAACTCTCAAGATCTGATTCAAGTTAGAATTCTACCTTTTGGTTACTATACATTTCCTTGTAAATCAATTAACTAAAGAGAACTTGGTACTATAGCAACTGAAGATAACACACTCTTGTTGATAAATTAGATTATTCTTATCCCTAAGTAGCTGGATGATGCAGTGAAAGTACAAGGAAAAGATACAAGAAGACACTGATTTTATCAATGAATATTATTTATTTCAAAAGTTCCAGTCTTTCTCGTTAGAGAGCATTTGAATTGATAGAACTCTATTGTACAGAAAAAAATAACAAGAACTTGACCCTTTTACTCCTAAGATCTTATTTGTTTTGTTGAACTTCTTACTTTCTGTTTTATAATTCTTATGATGTTAGTTCTGAAAATTTGGTATTGGATGAACTAATACATATAATCCTGTAATTGATATATAATTTATTTAATTCTCGTCATTTGTTTGCTTGATATTGTAAGGAGAAATTCTGTCTTGATCACTCATAGGAGTGAGAGGGTTATCAAACATATCTACCTTGTGCGCCATGTTATAATATCACTGTTACTTGATGATAGCTCATCTGAACTGTTATTGATTTGATGCGAGCTATCTGATAGTTCACTTGTTGGTACGGGTGAATCACTATCCCCGTCAGTGGAAACTGATAATGATGATGATGATTTGTGTCCAGATGCCAGGCCTGATTCAGAGTCAGATGAATTCTCATTATCATTCTCTTCTTCTGAATGAGATGATAAGCCCTGTGGTTCTTCAGTATACTTGACTGTTCTATTTAAATAAAAAGTACAGTCAAGGATTATAAAGGGAAGATGGCTCTGCAGCCAATGCTAAATTCAAATAAGGCCCTTGTTTCCCCTCCCCCCCTTCAAAACCCTTCTGCAGATGCCAGGAATCTGTGCACATTACCTCTCAGTATTCTGTGAAAAATTAATTCTGAAGAACCATTTATTTTGCTAATATCTTTGGAGAAATATCTAAAGGGTGCAAATTTCATTAGCTTTAATTTTGAAGAGGAAAATTAGTCCGAACCTCCCGGAGAACACCTGCAGAAAAACTGACTTTCTAATAGCTTAACGATTAAGTTAAAATTGTGAATCTTGTAACACATACATGGATTATGGAGAAAATCAGGGTTCTTTACTGCAATTGTTATAATTGCAGTCCACATACGCGGATTATTTCTTTGCTTAAAAATTTTACCTTCGCTCTCTTGTTGAAGTATAGTGAACTTCTTGTTTGCTTCCACTTGATGCTTCCCCTTTTGCCTCTATCTTTTTCTTGGCAATTCTTGTTCGCTAAAACATATTTTGCAAGATGTGGTGACACATTTGATAGGAAGCATGTGAAGCTATAGTAGCAGAGAAGAGGTTATTTACCTTACCTTTGCTGTAGACTTCTCTTCTTTTTCTTGCTCTTCTTCCTCTATTACAGCTTCGTCTTCACTTTCCACCCTTCTTCGTTTTCGTTCAATCTTCGCATGCCTGACTGTGTTGACAAAGTCTGACTTCAGTTTTTCTATTACAACCTTACAGTTATCCATCTTCTCCGAAACCAAGAGAACAGACTTTGCGTACGGCGTACGAGTTGCTGGTTTATTTTCTAGGTTATCCGACATGCCACCGTTTGTAGCTGTCTTCCGCGAGCGAGTACAACGGCCGAGGTTACTCTTGACCGCCATGTTTTTGAACCATTTCCGGAGGGATCGTGTAAGCTTTTACCTTTTGCAGGGGAGGGGCTGACCCAAAACTGTGAAGTATCTAATTTCCATGGAATTTTTGAAGTAAAAACATTCTACAGCCGACGAAACTTGCGGAAAATGGTCAAAATAGATTCAAAGACTCGTAAAAATATATTTTACATTGGGTTCTTCTGTCACCTACCTAGTTATTGGTTTTGCATTCCACTCTCTCCACCCTGACTTCTTAGAGATGCTTATAGAAACAACCGCTGACTTTATTCGGCTCTAATGTTTTCACGAAATTTCTGGTTCGTGCGAAGTAAACGTTGTTTTGATGTTTTTCTCTGGAATTTACCTTTTGCAGGACGATCTATCATCAGCCGTTGGCTAATATGTGATCCCCACCGTCGCATGACGAAAAAAATCGTCGCTGGCCTTCGAACTAGCGCGAGAATAATGCCCAAGAGAGGAAAAGTCACTCGCAGTACAGAACAAACTCTACTTAAAAACAAACACGAGGCAAGAGTTATCGAATCAGCAATCTCCTTGACCAAAGACGGCCAGATCTCTGTGAGAGTGCTGGCAAAACCTGGTGCAAAGCAAAGTAACATCACAGGTAAGAACTTTTATGAAAAACCAGACTACAGGAGTAGGGCTAAAAGCGCTAAGGTCTTCTTCCAAAACCAAACCCCCGAGGTGGGCTGGGTCGGTAGCAAAGCGGCCCCTCTTTGGATGGCACAGGGGTAGATCGACAAGTTCAAATTATTGATAAATTATAAAAGAAAAGTGATATTCTCTTCTTTTTTAAACAAAAGATATTCCTTTTACGATGACTTCTCACCTCCGATAACAAGTTAGGTTCAGATAGCCATATTACTTACATCCTGTGTAGGAGGTAAAACTCTTGGATACTACATTTAATTCTTAGAAGCAGACGAATATTTCCTTATTCTTTAAAATTACCCAATACTAAGAGGTTGGCTAAGGGTGTACTGTATACAAAATTGATACGTGACGGGTGAATTGTTCACAAAAAGGTGGTGGAGTGAGATTTGAAGTATTTGTCACCACTGTAATACTAATTTCTTGTCTACTTGGCAGATATTTCTTCAGATGGGGTTGGGGTGCAGATTGCTGCTCCTGCAAGGGATGGTGAGGCAAATGAGGAGCTCGTACGATACCTAGCAGAGGTGCTAAATGTGAGGACAAGAACCATCTCTCTAGACAAGGGATCTAAGTCACGTAATAAGGTGGTTACAGTAGATTTAGCTGAGATTTCATGGGAACAAGTTAAGGAGGTGCTTTGTAGAGCGGCTTCACAGAATTAGCAGAGAAAAAGTCCCTTGACGCATGCCACAAAGACACTAGCCCGTGACAGGGCCTTTTCAGCAGTCATGAGTTGATGAGATGGCACAAGAAAATTGGTAGAATGACTTAGTGTCCCCACTTTTTGGCTTTCCCCCTCAAATTCATTGCCTGGATGAGGCAAACATGATGCAAACAAAGATGGAAAAGGCATCTACACATGTATTTGAACATCTGAAAGCTGACTGTTTCATATATACAAAGGCAGCAGATTGGATCTTCTGTTCAATACTATTCATGGTTTTTCGGTAAATTACCTTCAATGATACCCTAAAATGTAGGAACTCTAACGTAGTTTATTCATGTGAATAAAATCTTTCTACCAACTTTGTTTGGTTATTGTTATTTAGCGATGAGCAATCTCAAAAAAAAATTCCTGTGCACTTCAATTAATGTTGAAAACGCAGTTTTTAAGACTCCACAATTCACCAGTGAACATAAAAAGACAAAATGATAAGACTGTTTTGGGATTTTTTTTTTGAAAACCCTTTACACCCTTACATTAGTATCCATATTCTCCACACTGTTCTCTATACTTTTCCTGTGGTACTGGTAAGGAGAATTTGTTTTATTAACAATCAGGTGCTTCCAAAATCGGTGATTATTTCCTTTTTTCTCACGCCCTTAATTTAACTCTGATTCAAGGGTGATACTGTGAGAAGAAATTAAAAGCCCGACACTCTTTCTTTGGATTCAAGGATTTAAAATAATATATAGAAGCAAATTATACTGACACGAATTGTTGATTCTAATTTTCTACATGTAATTTTTTGAGCTTGAAAACCAGGCAGATCTTGAACTTGACTTGATAAATGCAACATCCTCTTCAAATATTGCATTACTAGTGTCATCTTCAAATGCTATTGAGTTTTTTGTTGCTTGTGAAAGGTGCCACCCATTTCATCCTCCAGTTTCCTTATTCAAAGAACAAAAAGACAGAAAAGTGACAAAATGCCTAGAAACAATTGTCCATGTTCTTATGGTTGTAAAGTTCTCTACTCAAGAAATTCGAGAGAAAAAGGGAAACATCACACACCCCTCCCATGCTACCAAAACTCATCAAAATCAATGCCTGCCTCTTGGGGCTGGACACTTGATGGGTCTAAGTTAAGTTGAACTCGCATTTCTGTTCGCAGAGAGGATCTTTTACTAATTTTTGAAAGACGTTTTGAGAAGACAAAACCATTAACATTGTACACCTTAGCATCAGGACGCAGGTTCTCCTTACTGTTTCCTATGCATTTCCTATGCATTTCCTATTCATTTCCTATGCATTTCCTATGCATTTCCTATGCATTTCCTATGTTGCTAACAAGGATAATTTAGTTGGTGATCATTTCCTTTATTCTCATGACCTTAATATATATTCAGTAGTGATATTGTAAGGAGTAAATCAGATGCTGGTAGCTCTTAAGGGTTCAAGAGTTAAATTAAAAGTAATATCAAAAGCAGCTGGAAACAATAAGTATTGACGTACTTAAACATTGACATCCGCTGCTTTTGCTTTTGCATCTGAAGATATTCCTCCTCCTTTTCGTACTTCAGACGTTCTATCTCTCTCTCACGTTCATACACTTCATCAACCCTGCTTTTCTTTTCAGGAGGTTCATCATCCCTTCCACTTTCACTCCTATTTTCCATTTTTTCCTCCTCTCTACTAAGATTTCCACTTCTTTCTGACCCTTCTGGAGTTTTTTGTTGCTTGTGAAAGGTGCCACCCATTTCATTCTCCAGTTTCCTTATTCAAAGAACAAAAAGACAGAAAAGTGACAAAATGCCTAGAAACAATTGTCCATGTTCTTATGGTTGTAAAGTTCTCTACTCAAGAAATTCGAGAGAAAAAGGGAAACATCACACACCCCTCCCATGCTACCAAAACTCATCAAAATCAATGCCTGCCTCTTGGGGCTGGACACTTGATGGGTCTAAGTTAAGTTGAACTCGAATTTCTGTTCGCAGAGAGGATCTTTTACTAATTTTTGAAAGACGTTTTGAGAAGACAAAACCATTAACCTTGTACACCTTAGCATCAGGACGCAGGTTCTCCTTACTGTTTCCTATGCATTTCCTATGCATTTCCTATTCATTTCCTATGCATTTCCTATGCATTTCCTATGCATTTCCTATGTTGCTAACAAGGATAATTTAGTTGGTGATCATTTCCTTTATTCTCATGACCTTAATATATATTCAGTAGTGATATTGTAAGGAGTAAATCAGATGCTAGTAGCTCTTAAGGGTTTAAGAGTTAAATTAAAAGTAATATCAAAAGCAGCTGGAAACAATAAGTATTGACGTACTTAAACATTGACATCCGCTGCTTTTGCTTTTGCATCTGAAGATATTCCTCCTCCTTTTCGTACTTCAGACGTTCCATCTCTCTCTCACGTTCATACGCTTCATCAACCCTGCTTTTCTTTTCAGGAGGTTCATCAGAAGACAGCTTGTGTTGTGTCATCTTGGGTGATGAGCCATGTGATGATGGATATGGTAAACTCTCACTTTTCCCTGGAAATCGCCGAAATTCACTTTCATCAGGAGAGGTCCTTGCAGGCATTGCTTTCTTATTCACCTCATCTGATCTTCGTTCATCTTGAGTTCTGTCACTTGGTTTTTGAGTTTCTTTCTTCTCAAACGTTCTTGTTTCAGTATGACCTGAACTGCTGCTGCTGCGCATTCCCTATATGAAAATAGCAAAGTTTATTATTGTACACATCAATCTACATGTACAACACTGAATTTGGTTCAACAAAAAAGATAGTTTGCAAATAAAACTCACCTGTTTCTCCTGCTCAAACAACATCTGTTGATAGAGCATCTGCTGTTCTGGTGGCATGTTTGAGAGCAGCTGGGCTTGAGCTGCTGAGTTATATGCCAAATAAAAGTGCAACATTTGCTGATGATACTGATACTTTCTCAACTGTTCAGCTGATAAGTGTTCTTGAGATCTGAAATTTAACTCTGTAGCAGAGTCCCTGATATCACGTCTTCCCCTCTCCTTCTCAGTCAAAAGCATCTTGTCTTTCGAAGAACCAAATGCAACAGGATCTTCTTTCACAATTACAATCTCTGAGTCCTCCTGACTACTGTCATCAGGTGCCCTCATCATTTTAAGGTGTGAACCAGCACCAGAAGCTAACTGTTGTGGGCTTTTCCCTTCTGGAGAGGGCTTGGTAGTACTTAGGGAACGTGGTATGGGTGACTTGGACACTGAATAAGGTGATGGCTCTCTAAGCACAGCTTTCAGTTTTTCTCTTGTTGAAGTATAGTGAACTTCTTGTTTCCTTCCACTTGATGCTTCCCCTTTTGCCTCTATCTTTTTCTTGGTAGTTCTTGTTCGCTAAAACATATGGAGCAACTTCAGAATACCCCGCAACTCATTTACATGTCATTGAATAAGAATAGCGTCTATTGTGTTATGCCTCGATCTTCAAAGCCTCCCGACACATGTAAGTGAGGCGGAAATGAGTTGCGGGGTATTCTGAAGTTTAGCCTTTACCTTACCTTTGCTGTAGACTTCTCTTCTTTTTCTTGCTCCTCTTCCTCTATTACAGCTTCGTCTTCACTTTCCACCCTTCTTCGTTTTCGTCCAATCTTCGCATGCCTGACTGTGTTGACAAAGTCTGACTTCAGTTTTTCTATTACAACCTTACAGTTATCCATTTTCTCCGAAACCAAGAGAACAGACTTTTTCGAACGAAGCGTACGAGTTGCTGGTTTATTTTCTAGGTCATCCGACATGCCACCGTTTGTAGCTGTCTTCCGCGAGCGAGTACAACGGCCGAGGTTACTCTTGACCGCCATGTTTTTGAACCATTTCCGGAGGGACCATGTAAGCTTTTACTTTTTGCAGGGGAGGGGCTGACCCAAAACTGTGAAGTATCTGATTTCCATGGAATTTTTGAAGTAAAAACATTCTACAGCCGACGAAACTTGCGGAAAATAGTCAAAATAGATTCAAAAACTCGTAAAAATATATTTTACATTGGGTTCTTCTGTCACCTACCTAGTTATTGGTTTTGCATTCCACTCTCTCCACCCTGACATCTTAGAGATGCTTATAGAAACAACCGCTGACTTTTTTCGGCTCTAATGTTTTCACGAAATTTCTGGTTCGTTCGAAGTAAAAGTTGTTTTGATGTTTTTCTCTGGAATTTACCTTTTGCAGGACGATCTATCATCAGCCGTTGGCTAATATGTGATCCCCACCGTCGCATGACGAAAAAAATCGTCGCTGGCCTTCGAACTAGCGCGAGAATAATGCCCAAAAGAGGAAAAGTCACTCGCAGTACAGAACAAACTCTACTTAAAAACAAACACGAGGCAGGAGTTATCGAATCAGCAATCTCCTTGACCAAAGACGGCCAGATCTCTGTGAGAGTGCTGGCAAAACCTGGTGCAAAGCAAAGTAACATCACAGGTATGAACTTTTATGAAAAACCAGACTACAGGAGTAGGGCTAAAAGCGCTAAGGTCTTCTTCCAAAACCAAACCCCCGAGGTGGGCTGGGTCGGTAGCAAAGCAGCCCCTCTTTGGATGGCACAGGGGTAGATCGACAAGTTCAAATTATTGATAAATTGTAAAAGAAAAGTGATATTCTCTTCTTTTTTAAACAAAAGATATTCCTTTCACGATGACTTCTCACCTCCGATAACAAGTTAGGTTCAGATAGCCATATTACTTACATCCTGTGTAGGAGGTAAAACTCTTGGATACTACATTTAATTCTTAGAAGCAGACGAATATTTCCTTATTCTTTAAAATTACCCAATACTAAGAGGTTGGCTAAGGGTTTACTGTATACAAAATTGATACGTGACGGGTGAATTGTTCACAAAAAGGTGGTGGAGTGAGATTTGAAGTATTTGTCACCACTGTAATACTAATTTCTTGTCTACTTGGCAGATATTTCTTCAGATGGGGTTGGGGTGCAGATTGCTGCTCCTGCAAGGGATGGTGAGGCAAATGAGGAGCTCGTACGATGCCTAGCAGAGGTGCTAAATGTGAGGACAAGAACCATCTCTCTAGACAAGGGATCTAAGTCACGTAATAAGGTGGTTACAGTAGATTTAGCTGAGATTTCATTGGAACAAGTTAAGGAGGTGCTTTGTAGAGCGGCTTCACAGAATTAGCAGAGAAAAAGTCCCAAGACGCATGCCACAAAGACGCTAGCCCGTGACAGGGCCTTTTCAGCGGTCATGAGTTGATGAGATGGCACGAGAAAATTGGTAGAATGACTTAGTGTCCCCACTTTTTGGCTTTCCCCCTCAAATTCATTGCCTGGATGAGGCAAACATGATGCAGACAAAGATGGAAAAGGCATCTACACATGTATTTGAACATCTGAAAGCTGACTGTTTCATATATACAAAGGCAGCAGATTGGATCTTCTGTTCAATACTATTCATGGTTTTTCGGTAAATTACCTTCAATGATACCCTAAAATGTAGGAACTCTAACGTAGTTTATTCATGTGAATAAAATCTTTCTACCAACTTTGTTTGGTTATTGTTATTTAGCGATGAGCAATCTCAAAAAAAAATTCCTGTGCACTTCAATTAATGTTGAAAACGCAGTTTTTAAGACTCCACAATTCACCAGTGAACATAAAAAGACAAAATGATAAGACTGTTATGGGATTTTTTTTTGAAAACCCTTTACACCCTTACATTAGTATCCATATTCTCCACACTGTTCTCTATACTTTTCCTGTGGTACTGGTAAGGAGAATTTGTTTTATTAACAATCAGGTGCTTCCAAAATCAGTGATTATTTCCTTTTTTCTCATGCCCTTAGTTTAACTCTGATTCAAGGGTGATACTGTGAGGAGAAATTAAAAGCCTGACACTCTTTCTTTGGATTCAAGGATTTAAAATAATATATAGAAGCAAATTATACTGACACGAATTGTTGATTCTAATTTTCTACCAATTTTATTTATACATTTATCATGTTTTCACATGACACTATAATCCACTCAAAAACACTACTGTACAATTATGTTGGAAACATTGATTTACCAAAAATACCTATTATTACAAAAATAGCTTTCACCATTACTTAAATTTACCATTACCAAAGAGCACAAAGACTTTATTTTTTAAATTATTGCAAATGTAAGCGCTTCACAGAAGAGTATTGAAAAAGTAACACTAACCACTGAAAATTACCATGATGTACAAGTTCAGTACAAAAGTTACAATCTTTAAAAAATAACATACCTACTTTTTTTCTCTTAAAGAAAAGTTTAAATGGTTACAAAGGCTGTGAAAGTGCTATTGAGATGTAAATCAAGTGGCGTGCATGTATAAAAATGCTGCAAAAGGTAAATTACCAATTTGAATGGATAGTACAATTACAGCTCTTAGAGCATGTGGTTAAGAAATTTGCAATTTAAATTCATGACTTTTGCATGACTTTGTCACTTGGAATCACACTATTTTAAAATTTGAATTTTGAGGCAAGTGGAAAATTTGCTGAAATTTTCACATCTGAAAAGAAAGAAAGAAAGAAAGGAAGAAAGAAAAGAGAAGAGAAAACATGAACATCAGAGAGCCACTGTTCTGTGTGTTAAGTCCACGTCAAAAGCATACTTTAGAAAGCATTTTTAAAAATAGGGAAATTTATCAAGTTTATGCAGTTATTACTGATATGTTTACATGGCAAACAGAAAAGGAACAAAACTAAGCATTGTAATAAAATTTGAAAAACTCAACTTATAACTGTACATAAATTTCTAGCTGTAGAGTGAACTAGAGTGATACTCTGCACAACTTGCTGATCCAACTTGATGGAACTCAGTGCCTATAAATCAAGAAGAAAACATGATAGATGTTAAAAATAATCTAAACATTATTGAACCAAAAAAGTTTCTTAAGTTAAGTTCTAAGTAAACAGTACTGGATGAGGTTGAGCATGATATCATGCAAAAACCAAGTTCAATAATTGTTTTTTACATATTTTTTAAATAACCTGCAGAAAAAAGACACTTCTCACTAAGTTTGCAGAAGTTTGAGAACACTGCATGCACAAGAGGCTTGAAAACCAGGCAGATCTTGAACTTGACTTGATAAATGCAACATCCTCTTCAAATATTGCATTACTAGTGTCATCTTCAAATGCTATTGTAAATTGGATAGTAAGTCTAATGTATAAAACTACAGGATACTGTACCTTTTTGTCATATAATGTTCCACGCCTCTGCTCATGTGTTGTGGAGATGACTGTATCATGGAGGGAGCTAAAACAAATTTCAAACAAAAAAGGGAAATTCATATACACCTTCATCAAATGGTGGACCTTATTTTTCTGTAGTGTCCTTGTCAATTCATCTTTCCAGTCTTAAGACAGAATGATTTACATCAATAGAATTTCCATTCAAAAATGAGGCTGAGAAAGCTTATTTGCATGTGTATGAAAGAATGACTCTTAGGTTTGCCATACATGAAAGAGCTCTGAACACAATTCAAGTGAATATGAATATCTTGTGTTGAGACACTAACAGAGAAAAAGTAAAGAAAACCTGTGAGGAGATTAGGAGAAGGAAACCTGATGTGACTTATTTTCTCTCTAGTTGATCACTCAATCTTGCTACAAAACCTAGTTGTTTCCTTTAACTGTTCCAAAAAATTTAAAAAAATTTAAAAAACACACATGAGACATGTACAAACACTTCACCCTTTTACTCTCTGGAGTGAAAAAAAGGGAAGTTCTCCTCACCATATTAAAACATTTTTTTAAGCATAAAGGTAATGAGAACAAAGAAAACTGTGGAGTATGGGGTGTAGTTTGATTTATCACCAACTTCTTAGAGCTGCAATTGTAAGAAATGTATGACACACATTAGGGAGTTACATGTATTTAGATCCAGGGCATGACAGGTGTAATGTCTCACAGGGGTAGAGGGGGGAGAAGGGTATCATCGATTTTTATGTAGGCAAAGCAGGTGTTAACTCACCAAAGGTGAGACCATAGAAGCCCATGTGAAGAGCTTGATTTGGGTCATTTAATTCTGCTGCAAGCCTTTGTCTTCTCATAATCTCCTCCTCTGTGAGTACATCCATATGACCTGCCATTCTACTGATTGCTAGGTTGTTTGCAATTATGCTTGGGTGATTATGCAAAGAGTTGCTCTCCCCTTTAAAATCAGATGACCTGGAGCTAGCCTTTGGCGATATCTTTTGCTCACTTGATGTGCCACGATTTCTGACTCTGTCATCTTTGGAGGGAACTGATGAATGGCGAGCTTCCTTTTCAGTACTTTCTTTGAGTTTTTGCAGTCTTTCATGAGTATCTGTGGTTGACATACGAGCTTGGGAGCTGGAGTGAAGCGTGGGTGTAGAAGAACGATCCCTCTCTGCTACTTGATAGGGACTTCTTGTGTCACGCTCTCTACTTGATGACATCACAGCACTTGATTCCCCATTGCTGCTTATTGGCATGCTCATAACCATTCCTGGAGGAAGTGGGAGCTGTTGGCTGAGTAACATCTGATGAGCACTGTATGGTAACTGTCCTGTAAACCAATTATAACAAGAAAGTAACACCTGATTTATTTCATTTTGTTGTGATTAAATCACATCCATTGCAAAAAAAGTTATCTCATTACAGTACTTAAAATTTTATTAGGTAATTTTCACTGCACATTCACTTTCCCTTTGCAAAAACTTAAGAGTCTAAATATTAAATGGTGCTTCAAACTAACCTGCCGATGGGTCAAAGTTGAACTGTGATAAATATGCCTGAAACTGAGTTGGTGTAAAGTTTGTGGAGTGTGAGTTTGCACTCTCCCTTTTTTCATCTGAAGTGGGGGAGTTCTCTTTGTATCTTGCTACTGGTAAAGGTGACCTGGAAGGTCTTGGAGATCTTGGAGCCAAAAGGGATTGGGATTTGATAACCTGGCTACGGGGAGATCCATGGTCTGAGGAG